AAAAAAAAAAAAAAAAAAAAAAAAAGTATAATTTTTGTATTTTCAAGAGGAATGAAGAATTAAAGAGGAAAGAAACTATGCATATATTTAATTTTAAAAGATATCTGTTGACTGCATAATAGTAAGTTTCATTGTAGGATATTACAACTAATATGTAGTAATTTTAATGTGATGACATAAAAGAAACTTAATGCCAACTTTCTCAGACAAACATTTGGGTATTTCCATTCTTTGTCATCTGTGAGGGGTGCCCACAGACTCAGAGTTTCAGTGCAGTGAACAACGTTGGACTTTTTTGATAATGTAATTCTGGGAGGGGCTCTCACCAAGGTGTTGCAATTTGCACCAGTGAGTCCAAGGTGTATGGCTCCAGGTCACTCCTTTGATGTTTCTGAACATCAGAGAAAATGGCCACCAAGCAGTTATTATTTTTGGCAGACACATGCTTGTAGCAAAAGCTTAAAAAATAAAATCAAAACAAAAAAGGAAATATTAAAAATAGCTGTCAGGATATAGTTTAGACCTTAGTAATAATTCAGTTTTTGTGATAAGTTGGAAAAGGTCAATTACTGCTCTTCCAGCTGAAATGTTAGGAATTGCTAAGCAATTAGTAGAGTGTAACTTTACCATAACCCAGTTTTAATGCTGTGAAATTTTGCTTCATTGATCTCAAAGTGCCACAGTAGAGATAAAAGACAAAGGCTAATTAAATAAGTTAGGTGTCCTAGTTTCAGTAGGGACAGAGTTGTTTTTCCCTCTTAGTATCGAGTATGATGCTATATTTTGGCTTTAGGAGAAAATGTAGATACCACACTGATGTTTTAGTTGTTTCTGAGTAGTGCTGCACATAACCAAGGACATTTCAAGTTCTTTCACTGTCCTAGCAAGAGGCTAGGGGGCACAAAAAGCTTGGAAGGGGACAGAACCAGGACAGATGATCTAGACTGGCCAAAGGGATATTCCAAACCAGAAGACATCTCATGAAATAAGTTGAAAACAGTAAGGAGTTGGGCAAGGAGGCATTCGTTGCATGGGCCTGGCTGGGCATCAGTTGGTGAGCGGTGAGCCATTGCTTGTGCATCACTTGTTTCATAAATATATATTATACTATTATCATTACTACTATTATTTTTCTTTTCTCTTCCTCTTCTGTCTTAGTAATAGATTTTATCTCAACTCACAAGTTCTGCTTTGTTGCCTGTTTTTTTTTTTGTTTGTTTGTTTGTTTTTTTTTTTTGTTTGTTTCTTTGTTTGTTTTGTTTTGTTTTCCAGATTCTCTCTCCTATCCCACTGGGGGGAGTGAGTAAATGAATGTGTGGTACTGTTGAATCACAACAAAGACGTTTACCTCCAAAAAAGGGATGTTTTAAAAGGAAATAGTATATGTATAGTATTGGAAAGGGCAAGAATGAGAGTGATGGGGTCAGCTGAATGCTGTCTTCTACAATTGGTAAATTAGGGCAGTCTGGTGTAGCTACTGCATATCAAAATGAGCACAGGCAAAAGAGGATGGATTTTCCATCTGTGTGCACTCAGGCACAGACCTCAGTGCCACAGATTACTAGAAGTACTTAAAGCTAACCTGAGTTTCCAGTTATGACTGGGAAAGAAAAATATGCCAGGGATTACTAAACATATTGAAATCTTCCTGGCCTGTGAAGATCTTGCAGCACAAAAAGCATGGAGTCAAGAGTTTTTGTGGAAAGACAATTTTGCCTTGGTCTTAGTTTTTTTTATAGGTATCTACTTTTAATATCAAAGGACATGACTTGACACTACATAGATGTTTATTATGAGTTGATATTAGTCCTTTCATGTGCTTTTGCTTTTGGACTAACCTATAGCTTTCTGTTAAATTGATTTACCAAACAGAATTGATTATTTTGTGTGTTTAGCTCATTTTATGATTTCATTTTATGCCATTGTTGAGACTATCATTGCTGTTTTGAATTTAATATTTCTGAATTTAATATTTTCATGCTCTTAATATTTCTTAATTAATGATGTGAGCATTTTCAGGAGGGTATATTGTCTACCCCTTCTGGAAATCTGTACAGAAGGGATAAGATTAGTCACAGATGAAACTAGCCTATTACCTTTGAAAGTGTCATCATGTAAAGATAGCTGATCTCAGTGATGCCTGCACTGTTGAGTTAAATTCAGTAGGACAGGTGTGTCAGACACCTAAAGCAGTGAAGTAGTGTGTATAGAGTATGTAAAATAGAATCTCAGAATTATAGAATCATAGAATCACTGAGGTTGGTGCAGATCTCTAAGATAATCCAGTCCAATGGTCCATATACCACCAACATTACTCACTAAACCATGTCTTTCAGTACAACAGCTAAACATTTATTGAATACCTCCAGGGTCAGTGATTCCACCACCTCCCTGGACAGCCTCTTCCAGGTCCTGACCTCTCTTTCAGAGAGCAAGTATTCCTAATGTCCAACCTGAATCCATTCACTCCAGTCCTATTGCTAGTTACATGGGAGAACCACAGCCACCCTTCAGGTGGTTGTAGAGAGCAGTAAGGTCTCCCCTGAACCTCCTCCAGACTTAACAATCCCAGTTGCCTCAGCCATTCCTCATAAGACTTGTGCTCCAGACCCCTCACCAGCTTCCTTACCCTTCTCTGAACACGCTCCAGGGCCTCAATGTCTTTCTTCTAGGGAGGGGCCCAAAACTGAACACAGCACACCAGCTGCAGCCTCACCAGTGCAGAGTACAGAAGGATGACTCCTGGCTCCTGCTGGCAACACTGTTTCTGATCCAAGGCACCACACCATTGGCCTTCTTGGCCACCTGGGCACGCTGCTGGCTCCTATCTAGCCAAGCATTGACCCATACCTCCCAGTCAGTTTCCCATCCTCAGTCTTCCAGCCACTCTGCCCCCAGCCTGTAGGGTTGCCTGGAGTTGTTGGGGCAAAGTACAGGACACAGGTCTTGTTAAACTTCATCCAGTTGACCTCAGCCCAGCTATCCAGCCTGTCCAGATCTCTCTGTAGGGCCTTTCTACCCCCAGACAGATCAACAATTCCTCCCAACTTGATGTCATCTGCCAATTTACTGAGGATGCATTCAGTGCCCTCATCCAGGTCA